GGGGGGGGGGGGTCCTGAAAGTATGACATGACACTGTACCAGCTGCCCCGAAAGACTGATCTGCCCGCCGTGTAGCTCAGTGGATTGAGCTTCGCCTCATGCACCCACCAGGAGGTCATGGTTCCATTCTGAGTCAGGGCACATGCGTAGGTTGTGGGCTCAATCCCCAGTAGGGGGCGTGCAGGAGGCAGCCGATCCATGTTTCTCTCTCATTGATGTTTCTCTATCCTTCTCCCTTACTCTTTCTCTAAAGTCAATAAAAAATTCAAAAAAGAATGCTGACCAGCCCTGGTAGGTGTGACCCAGTGCTAAGAGCATCGGTCCGCACACCAAAGGCTCCGGGTTCGATCCCCCTTCAAGGGCAGGGGTGCGCAGGAGGTACGCTGAGGTGTCACTGAGTTGTGATTCAGTCCTTGGCCCTGGGCCGAGAGCGTGTAGGAGGTAATCGATCAATGTGTCTCTCTCATATCAATGATTCTCTCTTTTCTGTCTCTCCCTCCCTCGCCGTCCCTCCCTCCCTTCTACTCTCTCTAAATATCAATGGAAAAAATATCGTCAGGTGAGGATTAACAACAACAACAAAAAACAATAAAGGAAAGAATGCTAAACAGTGGAGTCCTCCATCTCAGCCCAGAGTGGACACCCAGGGGTCCCGTAGCGGCCTCTCTTCGTGACCTGCCCCAGAAACACTCTGTATAGAAAAGGTGGCTTGTACATTCTTGACGTGGAAACTTTCCTTAATAATAGAATGTTTTTCTCCCCAAAACTTCTATTAGAACTATCCTATGCGTGGATCTTCAATGAATACCCTTCCTTTGTTGAGGAGGATGGCCGGAGGTTCATCTCCCAGGAGACAGGCCACCTCTACGTAGCCAAGGTGGAGCCGTCCGACGTCGGGAACTACACGTGCGTGGTGACGAGCGTGGTGACCGCCGCCAGGGTGCTGGGCTCCCCGACGCCGCTGATGCTGCGCGCCGACGGTAGGAAACTCGAGGTGGAAATGTGGTGAATCCAAGCAAAAACACGGGGATAGTGAAAAGTGTGTCTCGAAGAATTACCGTTGCATTTGTTTCGGAACAAGAAATACTTTCGAGCGCAGGGACCACAATGACTCCATAAACCGCGGGTCCCTGCGCACAGTCCTCACTCACGCAGGGCCAGCTTCAGAATTTGCAGAATGAAAACGAGGGGCCTGTTGTTCCAAAGTGATTAACTCTGGATTAACAGTTACCCGAGCCCTCTTCCTGGTCGGTTATAATTGCCCGTGTCCTTACCCAGTGTTTACATTACTGTTTCCTGTCGGCAGGGATCCACTTACTCTGTCTGAGCTGCCAGGGCACCACTAAGTAACTTCCTTCCATAATTTTTGCTCTTCGTGGTACGTCAAAAAGTCAGAACGCCTTGTGTATTTCAGTTTGACCAGGAATGTCCTAATGGGGCAGACGAGACCAAAGCCACCCATTTTCTACAAGGAAAACCCATGGCGCTTTTCTCAGAACCATTCTGTACAGGGTAGCTTAGGAACCTGGGAATCCGAGGATGCTTACTCATGTTGCCCATGCAGCCCGAGTCAGCTCGGCGTCCGACCCCGCTAACGGGGGAGGCGGGGGGGAGTCATTGGCATCCCTGGGAGACGCTCCTCCCAGAGGCAGGAGGAGAACGCTGTCTTGGAGGGAAAGGGGCCGGTTCCCAAGGAAACGGTGAAACCGTGCAATCTGCATTGTGGCTTTACAGGTGTGATGGGCGAATATGAACCGAAAATAGAAGTTCAGTTTCCAGAAACTCTTCCGGCTGCGAAAGGGTCCACCGTGAGGCTGGAATGCTTCGCCCTCGGGAAGTAAGTTCCGTCGCCCTCTGTCCCTCTGACGTGCTGAGCGGCAGGTGCCGTACGGGATCGAGATGGTTTATGACAGACCCTTCTTTGCCTTATTTTCTTTCTTTCATTTGGAAGCAAAGGAGAAAGCACAGGGGGAATGCGCATGTATCATTTGCTGTGAAACTCTAAAGGCATCTGCTGTACACACTTCTGCCTGATTTTGTAAAGAACTGGTGTTATGTTTCTTTTCCTCGTTCCTCTGATCATGCAGTGGGTAGGTTAGACCTTTTACACCAAATCATGAGTTCACAAAGGAAAACACAGCACGTGTGTTATTGCACTGGGAACCTGAAGAGGTCGGGCTAGGTGTGTGTAATTGACAAGGCCAGAAACCCGTTGTCTTTTTCTGGATCCAAACCAAAGCTGTACTTGTTCCAGGCTTCAGTTTACGATAGCAACTAACGCGCCGCGTTTCCTCGCAGCCCCGTGCCCCGGATCACGTGGAGGAGGAGTGACGGGCGGCCTTTCCCCAGTAAAATTAACTTTCGGAAGTTCGGAGGTGTGCTCGAGATCCCCGGCTTCGAGCAGGAGGACGCGGGATCCTACGAGTGCCTCGCCGAGAATTCCCGGGGGAGAAACGTGGCCCGGGGGCGTCTCACTTACTATGGTAGGTGCCCCCGTGGTCGGTGTCCCTGTCCCCGTGGGCCGGTGGGAGTGGGAGCTTCTCTCTCATCAAACTCCGAAGTGGGTGGGGCGGGAGGTCATGGCAGAATCCGGGGTCCAACTTGATCTCCGTTTTTGTGAAATCAGGATATCATAAAAGGGGTTGAAAAGACATAGAAGTCTGCAGTTGGAGGCATGCCATGTTCTTTCTCTGCATTTTAAAATGATTCCTATCATTTCTATATATAAAAGCTTAGCGACTGTCTGACCGTTCAACCATTCAACCGGTAGCTATGAGGCGCACTGATCACCAGGGGGCAGATGCTCAACACACAGGCATGGAAACATGGAACAGACTGATGAATCGCAGAGGGAAGGGGGCAGGGGGGAGGGCGGGAAGAGATTACCCAAATTTGTGTACCGATGGGGCCCCTCGGCCTGGCCTGCAGGGATTGGGCCGAAACCAGCAGTCCGACATCCGCCGAGGGGTCCAGGATTGCGAGAGGACGCAGGCCAGGCCCAGGGATCGAACTGGAGAGTGTCCCAGAGTGCACAGAGCTTGGAAGCAGACAACGGGGGAAGAGCTTGGCTTAGAAGTGACCGTGGCCACCTCCCCCTCAATATGGAAACATTGATGAATCCGTGGGGTCAGGACGGAGGGAATGAAACAGCATCCGGCTCAGGGCTCACGTCCGTCTGTGGCTCTGTCTTGTGCCCGTGGGCATGTCTGTGGAGAGCGTATCTATCCTTTCCTCGGATGGGGGTTGACGCATTCCTTCCCTGCAGCAAAGCCTCACTGGGTCCAGCTCATCGGAGACGTGGAGGCCGCGGTGGAGGAGAGCCTGCGCTGGGATTGCCGGGCCGGCGGGAAGCCCAAGCCCTCCTACCGGTGGCTGAGGAACGGGGAGGCCCTGGCGCTGGAGGTGAGGCCCGTCCCGGGGCATCCGCCCTCTGTCCCTCTGTCCCTCTGTCCCTGTGTCCGTGTGTGAGGAGCGGTGCAGGTGGAAACCCCGTCACCACGGGGAGAGCATTTCATGGGGAAAGAGTGATTTTTGTGAATTTAGTCTATGCGATGCTGCACCACCTTTTAAAAAATATTTTTTTTAATTGATTTCAGAGAGGAAGGGGAAGGGAGAGAGTGATAGAAACATCAGTGATGAGAGAATCATTGATTGGCTGCCTCCTGCACGCCCCACACTGGGGATCAAGCCCACAACCCGGACATGTGCCCTGATTGGGAGTCAAGCCGTGACCCCCTGGTTCATAAGTTGATGCTCAACTACTGAGCCACGCCGGCCAAGCCCCAGAACACTTTTTAATGCGCAGAATGTATAGTGTCTTTAATCAACATGATTTTTTAAAAAAATGGTGAAAACCTTTGCAGTTGAGGAGATGGAAAGCTTGTGACATTTTTAAGGGTCTTTAATGTTAAAGATCTCTCTCTCTCTCTCTCTCTCTCTCTCTCTCTCTCTTCCTTTCCCTTCCTTTCTGAAATCAATAAAAAAAATATATGTACTTTAAAAGCATTCTGGAAGAGTAAATGGTGGCAGCATTTTACCTCTTTCTTTGTTACTTGCAGATATACTTAAGGAAGAGTTAAATGGTGGCAACATTTTACCTTTCCTGGTTACTTACGGATATCCTTTCGGACTGACATGCTTGTCAGTATTTCAGTGCATGGCTCTCACACTAATCATTCCCACATTTTCAAATGAAGAAGAGTTTAGATTTCAAGGCAGGTGGCCTGGTCATCTGAGGACACGAAGGAGGATCTTGTGAAGAAGTTGTCGTCAGCCTTGGCTGGGTTTGCTCAGTTCATGGAGCGTCGGCCTGCAGACTGCAGGGCCCCTGGTTCGATTTCAGTCAAGGGCACGTTACCTGGGTTGTAGGTTCAGTCCCAGCCCAGTCGGGGCACCTGTGGGAGGCAACCAGTCAATGTGTCTCTCTCACGTCGATATTTCTCTCTCTGTGCGTCTCTCCCCCTCCCTTCCACTCTCTCTAAAAATCAATGGGAACAATGAAAATGAATAAATAAAAAATCAGCGGAAAAAATATCCTTGGGGAAGATTAACCAAAAATAAAAAAAGTTCCGCTGCTCTGAGACGGTGGGGTGGACACTGACCTGGGGGAGGTCTTGGTCTCCATGCAGGAGCGGATCCAGCTGGAGAACGGCGCCCTGAGCATCGTCAACCTGAGCGTGGCGGACGCGGGCATGTTCCAGTGCGTGGCGGAGAACAAGCACGGCCTCGCCTACTCCAGCGCCGAGCTCCGGGTGCTGGGTGAGGCGCCCCTTCTCTGGTCTTGTTATTTTCCCTAAACCTTCCATTTTGCCAGAAGCAGAAATACTTACTTTTCTTTTTTTAATTTATTTTTCTTGATTCCAGAGGGGAAGGGAGAGAGAGAGATAGAAACATCAATGATGAGAGAGAATCATGGATCGGCTGCCTCCTGCACGCCCCACACTGGAGATCAAGCTCTCAACCCGGGCATGTGCCCTGGCCGGCAATCGAACCATGACCTCCTGGTTCATCGGTCAATGCTCAACCCCTGAGCCATGCCAGCCGGGCAGAAATACTTATTTTTATATTCCCACATCTGATAACATGTACGGTTTCCCCGGGGAGTGGGTCGGGGTTTCTCAGCAAGGCCTATGCCCCAGTGGCTTCTGTGTTTTTAACCTGAGCCCTGTTCCTCCCTCCTCTCCAGCCTCCGCTCCGGACTTCTCCGCAACTCCCATGAAGAAGCTGGTGCGGGCGCAGGTGGGCAGCGTGGTGGGCCTGGACTGCCGGCCCCGAGCCGCCCCCCGGGCCGTGTGCTCCTGGAAAAGAGGCGAGGTGACCGTGCGGGAGGATGGAAGGTATTGGCTTGGTTTCCTCCCACTTTCCCCGGGGAGACCTGCGGGCCTCAGACACTATCGAAGAGGCAGTTATTTTACCTGCAAGACGGGTTTGCTCCGGAATAGCAGGGGGATGCCCTGGGGACTGGGAGCTGGGGTCCACCCTTCCCGGTCATGGTCAAGGAGCAGCTGGCCTTGATCCTAGAGGAGGAGGAGGGGGAGGGGCCTTTGGAGGAGCTGGGGTGGTCACAGCATCCTGGGGGCGGGGCTAATGTCACAGGAGCTCAGCCAGAGGTGCAGGTGAGGACTGACAGGTGGGGTGTTCTGCTGGCCAGGAGGATCCCTTCCCTCCTCCGCTGCCCTGGTCTGTCCTCCTCTTTGGGGTCCAGGTGGCAGAGCAGGACAGCGCCCCCTTCAGGCCAGCCGGCTCCATTTCCAATGAGGATTCCATCCTTCATTTTCCACATTCTGACTAGGTTTTCAATAGGAGGTGAGACGCAGTCGCATTTCAACACAACGGGAGGTGTTTCAGGACCAGGGTAGCCTGTTTTGTTCTGTAATCCCCTCCTGATGACAGTAGCCGGGCCCTGGAATCTAAAAATAGCGCTCTCTCCCTCTTCGCCGAGAGGACTTCACCTTAGACAGGACTTACCCTCCTGTCCTCATAGATGCCAGCGTTGGGAATAGGGGTTAGCTCCCAGCCGAGGTCTCCGAAGAGCTGCTCTGAGCAGATAACAGGCTTATGGTGCAGACAGCGACCCAGGCTCTCAGCATGAAGTGCTCATTCTTCCATTTGGAAATATTTTGAGGACCAGCTACAGGCTAGTCACTAGGTATTTAGTCTTTGTTTAAATATGTTTTTATTGATTTCAGAGAGGAAGGGAGAGGGGGAGAGAGATGGAAACATCAGTGATGAGAGGGAATCCTTGCTGGGCTGCCTCCTGCACATCCCACACTGGGGATCGAGCCCGCAACCCGGGCATGTGCCCTGAGTGGAATCAAACCGTGACCTCCTGGTTCATAGGTCAGGGGTCGACCGCTGAGCCACGCCAGCTGGGCTAGGTGTTTATCAGACACATCACTCCCCTTGTTCTCAGCTTCTTGGAGTCTGTGAAGGTGACGCAGGGGTCCCAGGGGCGCCCACTTGGGGGAGAACAGGAGGCTCTGTGATTCCCCGAGAAGGCCCGTCTGCATGTGAGGGAGCAGGAGCAGGTTTGCTGGGGGACCCGGGTCAGGGAGACCGGAGAGGTGACAAGGGTTCCTGAAGAAGCGTGCCAGGCAGGGGAACAGCACATGTGGGGCAAAGAGGCCTAGGCGGCCTGGGCATGGCCTCGCGGTGATGAAGGCTCCGTGCCCCTCGAGTGGACGGCACCCGAGGAGGGGTGCCGTGGGATGAGCAGGGGTCTCACTGGGAATGACGTGGTTGCTGAATTGCGGAGTCTGGGCTCAGTTCTGTGGGCCCTGGGGGGCAGCAGAAGTCAAAGTAGCAACATCAGAGGTCAGATTTCTGTTTTAAAAAATCGGAGTGGTGGTCCGAGCTTGTTTGTCTCAGTGGCTAGAGCAGGGGTGGGCAAACTTTTTGACTCGAGGGCCACAATGGGTTCTTAAACTGGACCAGAGGGCCGGAACAAAAGCATGGATGGAGTGTTTGTGTGAACTAATATAAATTCAAAGTAAACATCATTACATAAACGGGTACGGTCTTTTTTTTTTTTTTAGTTTTATTCATTTCAAACAGGCCGGATCCGGCCCGCGGGCCGTAGTTTGCCCACGGCTGGGCTAGAGCATCAGCCTTTGGACTGAAGAGTCCCGGGTTCGATTCTGGTCAAGGGCACACACTTCGATTGCAGGCTGAATCCTGGCCCTAGTGGAGGCTCATACGGGAGGCAACCAGTCGATGTGTCTCTCTCACGTTGATGTTTCTCTGTCTCTTCCTCTTCCTTCCTCTCTCTCTAAAAATCAGTGGGAAAATAGCCTCTCCAAAAAGCTCCTCCCCTCGCTCTCCTCCTCCCCTCGCTCTCTCCCGCCTCAATAAACTTAAAAGCTTCGAAATCGTGCTGTGTATGTTCTCTAACCACAAAGAAAATAAATTGGAAAGCTGAAAAACATGTTTTGATGTGAACAAAAGAGCAGAGGACATACGACAAAAGTAAAAAGCTTTTCAAAAATTCATGGAAGCCCAGCCATCGTGGCTCAGTGGTTGAGCATTGACCTATGACTCAAGAGGACACGATTTGATTCCTAGTCAGGGCTCTTGAAAACGTGGCCTTCAGGAATAATCATCTCAAAAATCTACTTAGGAAAGTATATCATTTTCTAACCACTATGCTATAACCTGGAAACTAGTACAACATTAATATTGAATGTAAACTGCAATTGAAAAAAAAGCTTCAAAAAGTAAAAAAAAAAAAAGAAAGAAAGAAAGAAATCTACTTAGGAACTAAGAAGCCAAAAGATGATTCTGTCCTCTCTGTTCTCCCTTAAATTATGCAATAAACATTATCCTCTCTATCCAATTTTAATGGTGGAATAGATGCAAAATTAAAAACAAATTATCAAGAAGAAAAATATATCAGATGAGATTTCAAAATATAATTCTTATCCATAGGCATAAAAACAGTGGGGAAATGTCATTATTGTTACTATTATTATTAAATGACTGCTTCGTGGAAGCTTGGATATCAACATTGAGAAAACTCAAAAAAAACAAACAAACAAAAAAACAAAAAATAAATAAAAATCAATGGGGAAATATCCTCTGGTGAGGATTAACAACAGAAATCGGTGCGGTGGCCATGGGGAGCGTGGATGGGGATGGAGATGCCCAGTTAGCAGCAAACTAAGGAAATGGCCGTGAGAACAGAGAGGAGGTTCCGGGAGGGAGGTCGGATCAGAGGACCTCCGAGAGAATGGGGTTCATGATTTGCAGAAACGAGAAGATAGGAAGGAGTCGAAGGTGACTCCTCAGTTTCCAGCGTGGGCACCAGGGCGGTGCCTGGAAGACCTGGTCAGGGAGACGGAAGGTTCCGGAAGGAGCCGACTGGGGCAGGGAGTGCACGTTCACCTGGGGCTGGCTGCGTGTGCACTGGGTGTGGAAGAACCAGCGGGATGTGTCTGCGCACCTGGAGAGTCATTGGACACATCGGGACTCGGGAGAGGGCTGAGCCGCAGACGGGATGTGGGAGCCGTGAGCAGGCGGACGGCCGCGGGAACCACGCGGTGGACCAGGTGCTCTCGGCGGGCACCTAGCCCCTGTCGGCACGGGGGCGGGTCTGCCTCTCACCTGGGAAGTTGAGTGGAGGATGCCTGCTTTACAATCCCATTTAAAGGGCTGACGGTTACAATGGATGCTAGTAAGTAATTCATGTATTAAGTCAACTCAAGTCAAAGGTCAGCGTGACTCACCTGGTGGACAGGTGCCCTAAACGTGGAAATCACCAGTGTCGACATGGAGCGAAGTTGTTTTGTTTTGTTTGGGGATGTTCCTGCCGTTTATTTTCTCGGTGTGCCACCCCCTGTCGAGAAGCAGTGCCGCCCCCCTCCCTGCAGGAGGTGTGCGCGCTCTGAGCCCAGCGACGCCTGACCACACGCCCTCCCCTCCCTGCCCAGTGTCCCAGGTCTCAGACGCGTTAGTGTCTCCGAGCCGTGGCATTGACCCATTTCCTCAAACCCACGAGTTTCCAAGACCAGAATGAAGATGGGGGGGGGGGGGGGACTGTTCTCCTTGAAGCAAAGTAAACTTGAAAAAGGCCCAGACAGTGCAAACAGGCGCCGTCAGCAAGAAGAAACCTCCTGTTGGCACATTTGAAAGGCTGCTGAGCTCCCCGTGTCCCTGGGTAGCCTTTAAAATGCATTCGCCAATTATTTTTTTTTAATGGGGCTTTCACCTGAATGCCGCCGCTGATCACGGTAGATGCTTTACTGCGACGGCCTTCATTCAGAGGCGAGGCGAAGGATGGCCCATTATTTCTAATTAAACACATTAAAATTGTTTTATGTTCTATGCGGCATTTAATGTAGACATTTAAATGCTCCTAAAAGGAGGAAATGGTAAAGATTTCTTTCTATTATCAGTGACCGTGATGCCGACAGTGTTTTTAAAACGTATTAACCCATTCTCAGTGTATTTTTTGCATAGTTAGCAGGTGGCTGTTAGAGTGCCATCAGCATTATAGGCTGGGGTGCCATGTCGATGACATTCCTGGAAAAGGCACAGCTTTGGGGACAGAGAACAGCAGTCCCTGCTTTCGGAGTCGAGTGTGGGTGGAGAGAGTGACTGTCGGGGTCACGGGGGGCGGGGGGGAGGCCGGGCGGGGGGTTGGGGTGAGGGAATTCTTCTAAGGCTGGGTTGTGACATGGTTACACAAGCTCATGCATTTGTTCAAGCTCAGACCTGCTCACCAACGAGGCTCACTAAGACTGCATGCAGGTACCCGAATTTCCTTAAAATCTTACATGCAGTTTTACACTCGTCTCATCCCAACCTCATGAGCAGCTTCAGGTCCTTTAAAAACGCGAGAGATGCGGGTCCCCTTTGCTTTTTTGGGGACACATGGAGTCTTCCATCCGGTGAGATCCCTTCAGAGCAGAATCTAAACTTCCGCCCTGACAAGCACAGGCTGCTGACGTGTCTGCGTGTGCATGTGTGTGGTTCTGTGTATGCCTGCGTGTGTACACACGTGCTCATCTCTATGCCCGTTCCTCCCTGGGCCGGGTGAAGTTAACGGAGAGTTGTATTTGCTTTTTGATTTAACTTCAGCCCATGGAGAGAGAGGAGCAGCCACGAGTGACGTTAGTTGGACACGTCACTCAGCCTGGAGTCTTGGTGCCTCTGCTTGTGACACGGGCCCGAAAGCCCAGCGTCGCCGGGTTCGGCGTTCTGCTTGGTGCCATTTGCTTGGCACGCGCTCTTAGCGAGAGGTTGGCTGAACTCCTGGCCTCCCCTGACCGGCAGGGAAAGGACAGGGTTTCCTTTGGGCAAATTGCTCCCAACGCTGTCCCTGCCCGTTTCTCTCCCAGCCCGGACGCCCTTTTCCTGACCTCAGGAGTCACACAGGTAAAACTGGAGTGGCTTATGGGAGGCACCTACGCTGGCGGCTTTCCCACGGGGTCTCCGGCGCGGGCCCGGCAGCGGCCGATGTTGTTTCTAATACTAACCTTTCTCACCGTGTTGCCCAGATACTTAAAAGTAAGTAGCGAGACTGGGTTCAAAACAAAAGAGATGAGAAATGAGAAAAGACCTTTCTAAATTTTTTTTACAACAATCGAGTTTTCCATTATTTAAACCTTAAATAAATAAATTCCACCCAAATATTATTAAAGAAATTGCTGCTTTCAAGTGTTTTCTAAAATCCTATCAGCTACAGTTTGCAGGTCACCATGCGGTTGGTAAATCCATATTTCAAATACGACTTTTCATGGATTATGAACGTTAAGGCCACGTTTAAAATACTTTGCCGATGCTATGATTCCCGTTGGGAGAGCTGGTTAACGCATCTACTTCACACCAGTTTCTTGTTCAAACTTGATACGTTACTTTGTATCCAGGCTCAGCATCACAGTTTCACATACAGTGGGGCCTTGACTTACGAGTTTAATTCGTTCCGAGACCGAGCTCTTTAAGGATCTCGTTAACTCAAATTACTCTGTCAACTCAATGCAAACAATCGGCCGAGAGACAGCTGGTATCTCAAAAAACTCGTTAGTCGGGACACTCGTAAGTCAAGGCCCCAGTGTACTGGGTGTGTCTCCCCAGACCACGGAAGCCCCATATCCCACGAGCAGCTCAACACCCCCTCACTGAAAATGCAAAGAAAAGCACGGTGATGCAGTTGTGGCGTCACTGCAGACTAGACTGCCTTTGCTCTTTTCTGCGAATATGTTGAGGAAGGAACAGGTTCTTTCTCTGGAAGCAGGAACACTGACTGTTGTAACTCCATCAAGAGACACTGCGCGAGGGCGTGGTGTTGCCTTTGAATTCTCACGGGAAGGAAGGAGGGGGAAGCTGAGTGCTCACTGCCGTTTCCTCAGCTGCAGTTTCTTCTCAGCCTAAGAAAACCGGCTTCCACTCCAGCCCGGCTCCTTGTTCCCCGCCGGGGTCCCCTTCTCAAGCCCCAGGGCAGGGCTCGCTGGACTTCCTTCCCTGTCGCTCCTGCGGTCCTTGGCCACGCGTGTCCTGTGACAGTGTGTGAAGAGAGTGTAGGGAAAGCCCACCTGATTCTCAGAGCCGGGCCTGGAGGGACAGTGGGGTCTCGTGGACCCTCCCCGGGGCAGGGGGGTGGGAGGGTCCGGCTCCTGAGTTTGGGAGGAGGATGGTGTCTGCTGCCTGGAG